GTTGTTGGATTCATTCCCTGGTGAATGGTGTGCCAATCATTTGTCTTTCATTTTCTTAGAGTGATGTTTTACGAGTGCTCTCCAAGGCACTGCCCTTGTGGAAAACAATGCACCAATCAAAGATTCCAAAGAAAAGAAAGTGTCAAGGAGGTGAAGGTGTTCAAGGTATTTCAACATTCGATGTCGTTCTGAAAAGGTGATTTTGATATTGAATCTTGTGGTATGCCTCTTTTTAAAGACCAGGAATCGTGGATATGGTCTTCGTGCACTCGTGAACGTCAAAAAGGGACAATTGATCTTGGAGTATCGAGGGGAAGTTATCTCGCATAACACGGCCATAAAACGCATGGAAACAAGATACAAATACAAAAAGAGTATATACTTCCTAGATTACGAAAATAGGGCGGTTGTGGATGGTGCTGTACGTGGCACTGAAGCTAGGTTCATTAATCATAGGTAAAAGAATGTCCTTCTCTTAATTTTGTTTCAAGTTAGATCGAATGATTACTCATGTCCCCATCCATATTTTTTTTTTCTTCGTTGAAGCTGTGCCCCAAATTGTCATATCGAAAAATGGTATGCGCTGATAAATGAACGCCAGTTCCTTTTATATATGAATTACAGCTAACCGCTTGCGTCGAAAAAATTCTAGGAGAGCACCAAACGGTGAACTCTTTATTGGAGTGTTTGCATCTTACAATATTCCGGCTCACACGGAATTGACCTACGATTATAATTTCTCTACATTTGGGGGCGCTGAAGAACAAGAATGTTTATGTGGTGCACTAAATTGTCGTGGCGTTTTGGGCGGAAAGAACAAATTCAAGCAATCCGAGTCCCCAAAACCGCAAAGGAAGAGATCAAAGGCAATCAAGAAAAAGGTATTGGCGCGCTTTGTATTTTACGCATTTTATAACTGAAATTGATATTGAATTATTGATATTAGGTGATCGGCGAGTCGGAGAGAAACATTACAGAATGCATTGACTTCGAACATAATGCGCAAACTGTATAACTCGAGAAAAATAATAAGTGCTGCGGATCTAAGAAAAAAAAAAGAACGTTCGGTTCGTAGAGTTATTTAAATAAGGATATAAGGTTGTAAGATTATGACGAAACCCCTAATAAGGCCAATTGAACCGTTTTTAAGAGTCTTAAATGAAATTGACTCTAGAATCCGATATTATCTATTTTATTTACTTTATACACTTTCGTTTTTCTGGTTTTTAAATTTTAATGCTCTATAAATATGAACAAACTTCATGTTCAGAAAAAAAAACTTAGAGCCACATACTAAATAAAGTTTAATCTTGACTAAAATATTTGTAATAATAAATGTATATGAAACTGATCTTTAATTTTAATTAAATCATCCTTATACAATGACAATTACTTGAAATGTTACAAAACTAAATAATATTATTATAAAAAGCATTTAATAGTTAATTATTAATTTTATTTTAAAATATTAATTTAAAGTTAAAAACTTTTTCTCCCTTCTCCTCATTACTTGAAGATTTTTTTTTTTAGATAGTTTTCTTTCTCCTTTTATTTTTTTCTTGTTTTCTGCCTATACATGTGATTATATAACTAATAAAATTTGAGGTATACTATATTATATAAGATTTTTTATTTGTCTCACTTATTTGAAGAATATCTTGTTTAAAAAAAACATAAGCAAATCTGAATTTTGTATATATTGTAACTGTAATCTAGAATAAAGAATATTTATTATTTTAGATAAAAAAATAATTGTAAAGCAAGATTTTATATACAGTATATTTAATATATTATAAACAAAGATATATTTATTTTTTTCTGATTCTATTATTTTAACTTTTTCATATTATTTATTATTATTATTATTTTTTTTTTTTTAATATCTATAGCCAAATTAATTTATAGTTTATTAATTATTTTGAAAAATATAAATACTTTTCATTTGAACAGTGTGATACATACTACAACTAAACATTACTATCAAATCTAACAAACTTATTGTAAGCAATAATAATCTTTAAATTTGATCTTGGAAACAATATTTTATATTATAATAAACTTTGAATAAATATTCTTTAAATCTATTACTTTATCATTAACAGATTATTATTGTTATATATCTTATCAAGTTATTGAAATACAGAAAACTATAAAAAAAATAAATATATATATATAAATATATAAATATATTAATAAGAAAACAAAGAAAAAAAAAAAAGATAATATAGTTTATATAATAAAAAAAACTCTTTCTGCTGATCTACTATTTTTCTAAAAATTTCCTTTTTTGGTAATTTTTTAGAGAAGAAGGATAACACAATCCAAGCTCAGCAAACACAGTAAAGAGAAACACAACTACATCACCTCACTTGGAGCAACACATAAAGCTCTATAAACAAGCCACCAGAAGAAGAGTACATAATAATAATATTAGTACTTTATCCATCAACTTTTGAGAGAAAGGAAAAACAAAAATAAATCTGAATCACAATAATGTCAAGGGATTCAATATCAACTCCCCTAGCTTCCAATTAGGCCAGTACAGATTTACACCTTTCTAGATATTAGAAAGAACCTGGTAATATAGTAATCCCAATCAGTAACCCAGTCAAAACTCAAAATTTGCCAAATCCAAGAGGATATTAGGAACTCAAGAGCAACAGTTAGAGATTAGCAGTAACAACATATCAGCAATACATAAATAACTAGCACATAATACAAATACAAACACATCTTTTTAGACAATAGAGACATAACAACAGATTACGTAACATGTCTCTAAATAGATAAACAAGCTCAATATATGTTCTAGCTAATTATAAAACACGTTCCTCATATTTAGTTTACCTCTTAATAAATTTAGCGCATATGTTGCTAAAATTAACAAGCAAACAGATAAATAACCTGCAACTCATATTTACTCCACAATTGATCGACCAGCATAACAGATAGATTAAGAAATTTCAGTAATACTATCTGAATAAGTAAACAAATAAATAGAATTAATCTGCGATACATGACTCAATCAATAATTACATGACACAGCCAACATAAACAGGGTACAATGTATTCTTCATATAGTAAATAAAAGGGAGGAGGATATTTTGAATACCTTAGTTAAACTTTCAAGAAAACATGATGAAACCTTAGAACTATGGGCATTTCAATAGTTGATAAAGTAAAAAGAAGAATATCCAATAGAAGAAACAACTTCCATACCAAAGACTTTTACTATCCTAGATAGTATTATTACTAATATTCTAGGAATAGACAAAGCAACATTCCATAAGGAACGGATCCTTATTCAACATATTCTATACATCTGGTAACAAGGAAAGGAAAAAGAAGATGATTTTCTACAACCCTATATAGAAAACAAATTTATAGAAATTATCAAGAATGCAAGTGATCCATAGGAGCTGAAAAGTCAATCAATGAAGATCACAGAACATGTAGATACTGAGTCAACAATAGACAATAAAATCACAATGACCAGTAATCATGAACAAGAAAAGGCCAAAATACAAAGGTTTCAAGAGAAAATAAAAGGCAACAACATTAGTGATTATAGCTCATATGATATGAGAAACAGGAACTTTGTTCTATCGACAAACCCATATTTTATAGAAAGAGAAGGAATATATAGACTTGGTACTATGACAATCAATTCCAGGAGAAACAAAAGAAGAAACCAAGACCTACCTAAGCAATATCATGAAACTATTATAGAGAGAAAAACACCACATAAAGAAAGAATTTATCAATGGAAATAAATGGTTGACCTTTTGGATATAAGAAGAAGAGATGTCCTAAAATACAAAGAAGAGATAAACTGCAAAGAGGAAAATTTTACTATCCAACAAATAACTCCTCACACTCAACATTCTGTTCACACAATTAAAAGAGAAAAAAACAGAAAAATCTTTCAGAAATTCAAAGTGAAAAATAGATCTAATATATGGCATATTAACTTAATAGATCTAGATCAAAAGATTTCTAGAAGTTATATAGTCGAATATCTCAAGAGATATGAAACAGTTCAAAATATTCATATCTATAAGGTCAAGATGAAGACTAGGGCCAAGGCCTATTTCAAGCTTCATAAATATATTAAATGGGATTTTGCAGAAGTATGGATAACATCTATAAGTATTGAAATGTCCAGAGCCATCTTCACTAAATCAGAGTTGACTGATGAAAAGATAAATGCCATCCTAATTGAGAAAAATATCAATTCAGCTAGACTGTTGGATACAAACAAAACATATACTAGCTTGATAGTAAGAGCTCTACATGGTACCCAGGCAAAAGCATGCTATACTCCCAAAAACTCTTACACATTAAAGAAATAAAACTTTACAGTTGTCAGTTTCATGACAAGAGAGAATAGGACAAGGCATGCAAACAACATATTTTCTTACAAGGTTTAAGACTATCCTGAAGCATAAAGAATCCCAACAATAGAGAAAATACTAGCCCTATAAGTAAAGAAAGGAAATCACGTTATCAAAGATCTCAAAAAATCAACATAAATAATGACTCAACTTCAGATTCACTATTAGACTATGAGTCTACAAGATACTCTTCTTCCTCCTCTTATTATCATCTCTATACTATAAAATCTATACGTTCCAAAAACCAAAGAAAACAAAACAAAGGAATAATAATAGAGTAAGGTAGGAGAATTATAGAACAACTAAATATTCTGCTACAGATAGTAATAGAGAGCCAATAAGAAGACAAAGGACTCATCAGCAGAATATCAGTAGTGAGGATATCAGATTAGAGGCAGAAGGCAATCAAAACCCTCTGCAGCTTATATTGGTCAATCTTGAAAAACTGAGTGGTAGAATAAATAGACTCAAAAAACAAATAACTTCAAACAGAATAAATAGAGATAGAAGAGAGACTAATCACTCCTAATATGGCGCAACAGACAATCCAAAGAGACAAGAGGTGAACATGCCCACTTCATCCTTAATAGCAACTAACAACAAGGGTAGAGAACAAATACAAAAAAAAGAGGTTTTATTAGAACAATATGATAATTTATATCTAACAAATTCTTATAAAAGGAATATGATATTTTCCGTAACACAAAAAGGAAAAACATAATAATAGAAAAGAAATAGAAAAAAATGGGAGACATACAAAAAAGGATAATTAGGATTGGAACATACAATGTCAGAAGTATTACAGATAAGACAAATCAAAGAAGTTTAATTGAAGAAATTATAGAATAAGGGATAGGTATAATGGATTTATATGAAACAAAACTTATCCAAGCTAATGCCAAATAGGTTTTCAACAAACAAAAAGCCTACAAATACTTCTATAGTATTAATCATAACACATTCTTTGAAGCAGGAGTTAGCCTCCTTATCAGAAGAGATCTAAAGAAAAAGATGACATCAATCGAAGAAGAAGATAGATATACTATAGCTGTTAACTTGATGATGAAAAAGAAAAAGAACTATATTATATAGGTCTATATTCCATCAGATAAGCAAAGGTGCAAAAAAGTACAGGAAAAATAATCAACCTTAGCAAAACAAAATATAGAAAAGGCTTTTATACAATTATAATAGGAGACTTTAATGCTGCTTACAACCCATTGAAAGATAGAACCTCATTTTCCAAAGCAAAATTCAAATCCTTTTGACATCCTAAAATCCCACTATTTGATTTTATTGATGAGTGGGGATTTATAGATACACAAGCCATATGGGAAGGAAAAAACAAGACTTCCACAAAATGGAATGCAACAAGCAGTAGTAGAATTGACTATATTTGGATATCACAAAGCTTATCAAGATATTCAATACTATGATTTGATAATGAAGAGATAAAAAAAGTCATGGGAAGTGACCATATCATGATT